TATTCAAGAAATAAAATGAGGCTAATTCTTCCATTTCAATGATTGTTCAAAGGTTTTTGATGCTGTTATTTTCCTGGTCTATGGATTTCAACAGCATACTGTTGAAGTTTCTAATTCTGTTAATAAAGCAGGCACTTTGACTCATCGTGGTTCTTTGATTTCTTTGCAAGGCTTCTCAAAATAACATATTTTACAATGGATAACTTATTTACTGGTAAGTAGTGGCTATAAGGTAAATTACTTATTCAAGTTCGGGAATCACAGAATGTGTTTGAGAGTTGTGTCCAGCTGAGACTTAAGTGCATACTAAGTGTACATTTGGTTCAGCTGCCAGTTCGCAGGTTAAACTTGTGGAAAAGTTCTTAATGTGAATCCTGATGGAATCTGGACATTAGAAGTCTTTTCCTGGAGGCCTTTTGATTGCATTGAATGAAGATTCATTCCAATTACCTCGAGTTCAGTAGCACAGTCACTAAAAACATATGTGGAGGGACAAGGAGACTGTCCGGGCTGCCAAGGGTCATCCTTCCCAGTTCCGGGGCAAGAGTCCCATTGACCCAGCTCATCCTTCTGGAATCAAGATCGACAGGTCATCGATTACAGGCACACTGAGGGACTGGCTGCCATTTGGTAAAGCTGGGCACATCTGGCCCAAAAAGCAGGGCCAGTGACAGAGGGCTCAGCCGTCAGTTACGGAGTTCAGCCACTGGGTGCAGAGGATGTGTGTGTTGGAGGCGGTGCCCCTGGGAGGGGGGTGGCAGGGGAGCCATGAGCGATGGCCAGCGAAGTGTGGGGTGCGGCAAAAAGTCAGACCCTGGTCTCAGTCTGACTGCACAGAACCTCGACTCCACTACCTGTTCCCTTGTAATTTTGGCCAAGTTCATGAATCTATTTGATTTTTAGCTTCATCAATATCAGTACCACGTATGGCCATTGTGAAGAGTCAATGAGTGAATTTATGTAAAGTTGTTAGGCCATGGTCAGCGCTGGAATCACTGGGCGATTTAGGTCGGCCAGTATCATGTGGTGCCAGAGAGCCAAAGCTGCCTCCCTTCCCACCTAGTGTGCTGGTGTCCCTTCTTCAGGGACAATGTCCAGTGAAAGAAGGGCTAGGCACCAAAGTCCTCGTTTGAGGCAAAAGTAACTGCCGTCAAAAAATTTTCAAAAAGACTTTCAGTCAGCCCATAAGTATAGTATGTGTCTCTAAATGTATAATGCAAAATGTAAAATAAATACATAAAGTATATATATATAGTATGTAAATGTAAAATGTATACTGTAAAATGTGAAGAAGACATTCAAATACAATTGTACAGTGTTGTCAAATACGAGAGAGACAGACACCAAGATTGAATGTCCTTCCGTCTGCCTACGCCTGCAGGTTATGATCGGTGGAGGATGGGCTGACGTGACAATTAGTTCATGGTGCTGGTCTAACCAGGAAGTGGTGGCCATGAGGAGTGTTGGGAGAAGCAGGCACCCTGTTCGTGCCAAGTTTGCCCATCTGCTCCCTCTAGCGACCCGCCCTGGAAGTCCCCGAGGACTCGTTCTCTTGGGGACTGGTGTTGGAGAAGAAGTCAGTGTGAGAAGGTGAAAGCAGAAACTCACGTGCTGCTGGTCAATCCCACTAGAAAACCCTGATGAGAAGGACCGTGGCCTTTCCCTTCCAAGCTGAGGAAACATTTGCATTTGTAACGGTGAGTTTTGAGGCTTGTTTCATGTGATGTTCACATGCAAAAATCAAGTCAGTGCAGTTTCTGGCTGGATGAAGCAGTTGGGCCTGTTTATAAAGATTTCAACTTGCCAGCACTTCCTGCTCATTGCTATTTTCTTTTATCTCTTTATAAATTTACCACTGCTTCCAATGATCGATTCATCAGCCTACCTGTGTGCCCTCCCGTAATCCAGGGACACTTTCATGGAGAGTACCTCAACTGTCACCCACTTCCCTGGCCGCCTGAATCCACTCACGAGCGGACACCTGGAACCGTGTCCATTGTCTCCATCGCAGGAAGGGGTCCAGCACGGCACACCAGGTGCGTGCATACCTTGCATGTGCATGCACACCTTTTAAATCTTTGTAAAAATATCTTCATGCACTTTGCTCAACCCCTCTATGGTAACTGAAGCCCTTGTTGCCAGGATTCGGTGACTGCATATCTCAGTTTTTGATGGCGGCGATACTAGGTTTCTCATGGCCGCACGTAAGGGCTAAACTCAAAACAGCTGCGTTTCTTTTTCTTTCTCTCTTGTCCTCTGCACCAGGACACTGTTGCTTTGGTTGAGCACAAGACACACTCATTGGCTTTTACTTAGAGGACACGTTTTACCAAAAACACATGTGTCTCGAAGACTGAACTCCCGCTCAGCACAAGGAGAACCTCACCTCGGGAGGGTGGCAGAGGTGACCAAAGAAACAGGCTCATGAGCCCAGGTCCTTGTCACAGTGTCACACCACAGCATCAGCTTGCTCGGCAGAGTGGCGGCTGACGTCACCATACTTTTAAATGATCCTCTCCCTCAGCTGAACACCCAGAGTGACATTAGGAGGAGCGATGTGGCTGCTATCAGCTGCCTTTTACAGGTTCAGGGGCGAAGGGAGACCTCATTATGAAGAAAAATATATTTCTTATGAAAGAGCTCTTAAAGTCCTTCAGCATCAACTATATTATTTTTAAGTGTGCTTATGAAACTAGCAGCTTCCTCTTCATATTCTAGTTGAATTTCAAAGGTGACACAGGCAAATACTGGCATGAATTTATATCCTTCTAATTTGTAACAGGGAAGCGCAGGTTGAAATTGTGAAAAGAAGAAGAAAGCATGTTTTGAATAGAAGAAAAATGTGTGGTATCTGGATTATTATTTAGACAATCCTACACGACTTAAGAAAAGCAGGAGACAGGCTCATGCACAGCGCTGCTTCCCTTTAAGGCCGACAGGTCTTCCGATCTGTCCACCCAAACTCTTGAGCAACCTCCGACCATCCCTCCCACTAGTCAAGGGGCTCCTCCAACTCAGACTCCATCAAATTGCACATCACCCACTCCACACACACCTAGAGAGAGCATTAATATTCAAACACAACTTTCTAACAACAAATTACATAGAAAAGGTGCCACAGGCATAGCTGGAGAAGTAGAAATGGGACTGAAGAGAATTAAATGATCTTTTTCTCAATTATGAAATAAAAGCTCAGTCCTAGATATTTTAGCTATATATCTTTATATGCTTCAGGCCATTATACAACTTTTCTGCCAATTTTTAAACAACCATTTCCCCCTGCTGTTCCCAATGGAAGTGTGCACAGCTTGCTGATGCAAGGACCCACTGCGACAGACCCTCCCCGACTTGTCACTGCTCCCCCACCCCGAGGAGGAAGGGTTTCGATGTTCCCCGAAAAAAACATCGCAACTAATTACATCATTTCCCTTCATTCCTGCACCTACCAAGGCTTGGTGAGACACAGCCAACCTGTTACCACAGTACATGATTTAGCTCAAGATTCTATTCAGTGCAGTGAATATCATTTCTCTATTTAAAACTGTCAGTTTATCTTTCCTTAAAGAAGTTCTCTAGCCAAAAAGCAATCTCATCATGTGTTATAAAAAGATGTTAAAATATTTTATTCCTAAAGTAAAACAGTCAGTAGAGATGCCTTTTAAGGATGGAAATTACCCTGAAAATTTGCCACTTCAAATGACTGATGAACACAAACTATTTGTTCATAGAAAAAGGTAGCTGAGGTTTTTTTTAAAATTTAACAAGTAGATCATATGAAATCTCTAGATTATTTTGCTTCTACTACAGATTATCATTAACAAGTATGCTAATCACTAAAAATGAGACATTGGCTTATGTATTACCTTCCTTTACTGCTTATATAAAACCTTTACATATTTATTGTCATAGGCTCTGATGACATGTGTGTGTATGTTTATGTGTGTGCAAGTATGTGTGTCAAGAGACACAGCAAAGCTGGATGGTTCAGAATAATAATAAAAAAAACAACTACAGTGTGCTTCCAAAGTACCTATTTTATTGTGTGACGTATAGCATTTTCTTAAACAGTGCATCATACACCCTCAAAATCAGATGTGGCGGCTGACTCTTTCCAACACTGTCCTCGGACATTGCCCTCATGCCGTGCTGCCCCCCGCCACAGCTGCCCTCTGAAGACAGGAGCACTTTCTCTGTGACATTACGTAAGCCCGAGAGCAGAGGGGCAGAGGAGGCTGCTGACGCTGGTAGGAGACCAACAGCCCCTCCAAGCCAGCGCTGGGCGCGCAGAAATTCTAGGGTGCCTGAATCCCTTGAAATTGCCAATATTTGGCCATTTTTAACCTAAAATGACAATTTCATGGTAACTTTAATAGACAGATCCACCTACACAGGCTAAAAAATGCATCGGAAAATGCCCTTGGTCGTGCAACACCGACGTCGGCTCCCAGAGGGGGGAAGCCTGTCTCCAGTGCCCACTGACACCCGGCAAACCTCTGCTTCCTCTATGTTTAAACTGCATTCGTGCCCAAAAGAAAAAAAAAAAAAAAAGACTGTGTTCAAAAGGTGCCCCAACCAAAACGTAATAAATAAACTCTTGGTCTTTGTTCTGCGAGGTGCCCTCTCCAAGGTGTCGGTGACGGTTACATCACTGCATTTTTAGCTACGACTGGCTCCAAATATTGCGTGGCGCTCCCACCAGGGATCCCTGGACTCAGCCGACAAGCGTGGACACATGCGATAAATAAAGGTTAACAAAGACTGGTCTAAGGACTAGTCCGCTACGATACCGCAGTGCTCTTATCGTGGACACGAACGATTTGCAAACCGCCACCCCATTGCTGCCAAAACCCCCTGCAAGTGAAGAACAGGCGAAGGGGGGAGAGAGAAATGCCCTCCCAGGGCGCGATGTTCGTCAGCCCCACTGCCGAGTGCCCAAAGCAAACAGGGGAACTGCACAATAATTACCGAGCCACCAATAAACCCCCCTTGTAGCACAGTACCTTTCTGTGTCTGCCCCTCTTCCATATTCTCCTCCATGGCTACCCTTCTTCGGTACGCTCTGGTCCTCGGGATTAATCAAAAGCTCAGTTAGACGCTGGAGAGCCTGGTGATTTTCTGCCCCTGGGAGGCTCCCGCAGCCGTGGCTGGGGCAAGTCCTCGGAGCTTAGCGAAGGCTCCCTCGCGCCTCTTGTTTGCTTGCAGACAGGCTGTCAAGTGCAATTTCATTCAAATTACTCTTCCGTGAAGATTATCAATTTTTCTTCTCAAAGCTGCCCATTGTGTAGCACTGTAAGCAGGTATTCAAGCAAACAGCCTGAGAATTTTGGGGGGAAATCTGGTCTGAATCCCAGCAGCAGAGACTCTATGATTCATAAGCCTTGCTTTGCATTTAAAGTGAGGAGAAGAAATTGAGGTTTGTATGGAAATCTGGGCTCTGAATTGGAAAGAGGCTGGGCTGTGAGCAGATGGAGGGGTGTCCTCCAACAGGAAGCAGACCACCACCCCAGAACCCCCCCTCGCCACTGGAGTGGGAAAGCCCGGACGCTGCCCCTTCCCTGGGCTGCAGGAGGGGCTGCTTGCCCAGCCAGATACCTTGCAGAGTGCGTTTTCCTTTCTTCTCCTCAGAGGGTCTAGTTAATTTGATTTAAAAGTGCCAGGAAAAGCACGCATGATACCGTCTCAGGGTTTAATCTGGAAAGGGTTGTTATTATTAAGAGCGGACTTGTAAGCTCACACCTTTCGGATTTGAAAAGATACAGAAGTCTATGGTTTTCAAAAGAAGAAGTTATAAACCTTTAAGCCTGAAAGATATGTTTTAAGTAATTATTTTTCTTCAGTGCCATGAGATGCTTGAAGGAAAGGGAAAAACAAACACTGACATTAAATAAAAGAAGCTATTGATGTCTTTGGAATTTATTGTTCCAATTGTGGACCACCAAAACTGCTGATTTAAAAGGGAATCTCTTGAAAGGGAACTGTTTCAAGGGTCATTACTGGGGAATGAGAAGGAAGAGATTCTAGATAAGGAACAACGGGCTAAGCAATTTATAATGGGCGTCTGCAGTCTGATTTGGAATGCAGATCCCAGCGCTGCAGTCGGGCAAGAAATTAGCATTTGTACTTCAGCCTCCGAGGGACAGGGCGCAACCCCAGAGGCTGGTGCCACACAAAAGGTGCAGCAAGGAAATAAACAGCGTCTCTTTCAAGGGGGAAGAAGCCTTTCCTAGAATCCGAAGGAAGAAGGACCCCTGCCTCTGGCTCCATCTCTAACCAGCGTGCATGCTCGCAAACACACAGCTGTAGTCCTCACCATCAATCAAAACTAATTCATAGCCTAGTTATCTACAGCACATGTTTCTTGCATCATAGAATATATTCTGCATACATTTTAAAAAACGGCATGTTACACACCACCCTCTTCATTACAAAAGCAGCTATTTAGAAGAAAGAGATTTCGTGCACAACAGACTACTTTCTCATTTCTCATAAAAGAATGTTTAGCCTTCTCAGTTGTATAATCATTTGCACTTATTTTCTCTCGTCAAATGAGCTGAGCCTATAGGTAACTGAAATCTAAAACCTATGTCTTCTGTATGTGTTCGAATCCATGTTCCTGGGTCAGGGAGAGAGCTGCTTGCTCAAGGCAGGGATGGAGAGAAGGAACCACAGGGAAATCAAACAGCGAACACACAGCCTGCAGCCTCCATGGACCCCAAACTGGGCGGACCTGGCCTCCCCCCCACACTCCAGGGGCACCCCTCCCCGTGAGTAGGTTCCATTCATTTGACACCACAGAAGCCCTCAGTGCAACAAGCCATGAAAGAAAGGATAAATAATGCCAGTCTAGATTCTGAGAGTGCTTTACAATCTACAAACCACGTTTGCATGTGTTAACCCATCTATTAAAAAACAGAGAAAATGTTATTTGGTCCCATTTTGTGTTGGAAAACTGAGACGTGGAGACACTCAGGGTGGGGGCTCATCAAGGCCCAGGTGAGTCCTGGATCCACAACATGGGTGTCCATCTAAAGCTCTGACCATGGCGGCCACTCCTGCCTGCTGTCCCTCACCAGCGTCTTTCCCAGCTTCGCCAACCAGCCTCAGGCCGCAGCGGTCTTCCTGCGCACAGGAAGGGGACGGGGAAAAGGAAATGAAAGGGAAAGGAAAAATTCTCATGGGGCAAGATAAATGCACAAGTAACTGTGACCTCTGTTCCTTCTGAACACTCTGAAGCAGAGCAACAAATTCCAATAATCATCACCTGTTAGTCTAAACTGGACTTTTTTCACCAAAAAAAACTGTTACCAACAGAAGACAAGAGCAATATGTACTGAGTTTCTTAAATAGACAAGAACCACCTCAGACCCTAGCACGTGAACTTGCACAGAAAAAAAAGGGCACAGGCAGCTTCTGAGGGCGACCGAGCAGATATTCATTCTGTGATTGTGGAAGATACACCTCACACGGAATGTACCGTGTTGACCACGTCCAAGTGCGCAGTCCTGTGGCACGGAGGACATCCACACTGTCCTGTGGCCATCACCTCCCTCCGTCTCCAGAACTTTCCCTTCTCCCAAAGGGAAACTGTGTCCCCATGGAGCGTGGATACACATCTCTTCTCCCCGTTTGAGGGCAGTTGAGTTGCTGTGGCTGATCATCGGTTTTAGAATTGTTTTTTGAAGTCTTGACCTCATTTCAACTAAAAATATTTTGAATAACCTAGCATCTATAAACTAGTGAGAAAAGAAAAGTGGTTGTCATTACTGCAGACTACTTTGTGAATTCTAAAATGTACTTTATGAACCTTAAGAAGTGACGATGCTTTTCTTGTAACTCTCCTTTAAGACACAAATTGAGATGATGAGATGCCTCATCTACTATTTTTTCATTATATCACTTTGTATTTTCCTCCTCTGTATTTTTAGTCATTTATTTTAAAAATATGATGAGTTCAACAGGTAGTTTAAAAATATGTTAATACTCTCTGGCCAGTGTGGCTCAATGGACTGAGTGTGGGCCTGGGAACCAAAGGGTTGCCGGTCCACTTCCCAGTCAGGGCACATGCCTGATCCCCAGTCAGTGGCTGGGGGCGGGGTGTGCAGTGGAAAAGGCAACCACACATTGATGTTTCTCTCCCTTTCCTAAAAACAAATAAATAAAATCTTTAAAAGGATAAAAATATGAGAATAAATGTCCTTCTCAGTTTCTCTTTCAAACACTGTTTAAGAAACATTTAGAATCTCCGTTGCTGTTCTCTTGCATTAGCAGGAGACATGCTGGTCACTATGCCCAAACCCACTGTGAGACCTTCTCATTTTTCCTAAGTCATCTTAACTTGGGGTTGGCTCTTTCTTTAACGCTCCATCTTATCTTTATAAACACTTTATTATACAAACCAAGAAAATATCTACCTATTCCTCTGACATATAATTAGGCATCTTTGTGATACAACATTGCAGAGGCAGACAAGAAAACAAAGTCACGGATTACATAGCCCTTTGATGATCACAAATACCACATCGAATGGGAGGAAGGGAAAAGAAATGGCCAAGGTTTTGGGGGCAGACACAGAAAAGGGGACCCATGGAAACACGATTATATGAACCAAGTATATGGAGCACAGGACAGACAGACCTGAGCACTGTTCAAAAACTGCTCCTCTTTCCTCAAAAGTTTTGGACACAGATCCAGTGCTATTTGAAGAATAAAATGCCTTAGTTGGCTTTTTCCTACATTTTGACTAAGAAAAAGAACGCTTCTTACTGCTGGTTTAAGCTCTAGGTCAGAAATCAACTTCCATGAAATCTTCTCACAGAAAATTAAAATTACTGCACACACTTGAACTGTTGTGATTATAAAAGTAGCGCAGTGTTCTCTGGAGCTGTACAATGGTGTACTGCAGCCCATTCACAGAATGAGCCCAGCCTTCCCAAGTCTTGCTGGACTTCAGTATTGGCACCCTTACTTTCTTTCATTTTTATTGTGCAAATATTTATTTGGCATTTTTACATGCGTAGGCAAGAGGGATGCATACCTGCCATCGTGGTGTTCACAGCACAAGTCAAAAATAGCAATTTTGTGGCACGTGTGGCAACTAGAAAGGACGCAAGAGCACAGGTGCTACGTGGGTCTACAGCGAGGACGGCTAACCTGCTCTTCAGTTCTGACAGTTGGGGAAGTTTTCTTGCTCTTCTAAAAGGCGTAGTAGGTTGCTCTACTTTCAAAGGCTGAGCAACTTTCTCCAGGAGGCATAGCTGATGAATGAAGGAACTGGGATTTGAGTTTTGGTCTATTTCTATACTGCCCCCTCCCCGTCCACATACCCACAAAAGGATAACTCATTCAGCACTTAACACAGCCATGAGATAGCTCGTGTTAGCCTGTCTTCATTTCTGAATAAAGTCTTAGAGCTACCTTAAAGATGATGGACATAGCTTCCGCCTTGGTTGAAAGATGAATTTTTTTCTCTCTATTCATTTGTCCTAAAGTTTAACTATATAGAAATCTCAGTTAAGCCTAACTTTACATACCACATTGCATATTGGAAATGACAAGACTATAAAAATAAATAAATAAGAAGAGAGGGGGGGAGGAAGAAGGGGAGGGAGGAGACACATGTCAGGCAAAGCTACAGCCTGTGAGAAGTTCTGAGGTTTGAAGTACTGCATTTAAGTCTCGTTTTGAAAGTTTATGCAGGCACAGATGACAGAGAAAAATCTCCTGAAAGAGCCGATTACACAACACGGCGTGCAGAGACATGATGAGGAGAAATAAGGCCCCACGGCTTCTCCACTTTATGATAAGCATGCTGATCTCCTGTGCTTACACATTCCACTGCACGCCCTTTTATGGGCAAAGCAAATACATGGAAGTCTACTCTTCCATACCCAGGGATCATCTTAGGTAATTTGCAGGTCCTTCTTATCTGATCGAAGGCAATTACCCACAGGTTGACAGCCTCTCTCCCCGCTTCGAAATGCCCCCGCCAGTGCCGTGGCCCCTACGACTGACAACCAGGGAGAGACAGGCACCTCCTGCTTGGTTCCAGTGTGGTGTAGGGTTTTACACATTTGTCCTTTCTCGGGAGCTGGGTATCTGAAGATATTTTTGGGATTTGTCAGTCTGAGCAAGAGACCTTTGACTGTGATCCACTCTCCATGAACCAAGGACAATACAGACACACTCAAGTCCTGCAGGTGCCAGAACAGCCAGAAATCATTCTCCCAAGAAAGCCTTATTGGCAATGACAGACCATGCCTCCAAAGGTAGTGACACACTCCAGTCTTCCGATGATGTGCAGAGCCCACCTGCTAACCACCGCGCTGCTGCCCCTGCACACTGATGGCTCACCTGGACCCTGGAGA